AAAAAAAAAAAGAGAAAACATTAAAACAGGAATACATACAAAGCAAATAATACATTTATGTAATATGTAATAAACGACACGAAAAGCATTGCAAACAAGAGAACCACAAAAACAAATAAGAAACATCAAACAAACGGCAGCAGTAAAAAGAGAAAAGACCTAACGAATGCTATCAAGCATTTTAGAGAACAGTACATACATACATACATACGTTCATTTGTGCACACATGTGTTTTTGTAAACTGTCCGAGACGTTAGTAAAGTAAACATTGTTATCTTGTGTGCATGAAAATTGCTACGGAACTGAAACTTGAAAAGTTTATACAAAAATATAATAAACATTAATTATAGTACACATAATAGATTTCACATGCAGTATATGTAAACACAGCCAGACACATAACGAACTCGATTGCATTTGGAGACAAACTGAAAAGATCAAAGAAGAAATTTTTTAAATTAAATAGACAAATACATACATACATATGAATATACAAACTATTGTGGAAAATTTTATTACACCACTTCTCGGCTTAAAACACAAAAATGCGTATATATGCTATAAATAAAATAGCACTCGATGCATACAATAACATAAACACATAAAAGAGCATGCAGCTTACTACTTTAACGCCAGCAAGCTTCCCAAACTCCATCCAAGTAATAAATTTACTTTTGTCTATAATTTTGCAAATTTTATCTTTGTCAGTCAAAATCTTCGCTTGGTATAATGTACATTCTTTTCGTATAATTATAATTTTCTCCCTATAAAGGAGATTTTTGAATGAATGTATAGGTTACTAGCCTAGATCTAGTTTTTTTGTACTACTTATCCAAGTAATTGCTTTAGCACCATAACAAGAAAATGCAGCCGTACTATTGAATTTCTTTATGTATACATACAAACCTGTTACTCAGTGTTGAACCTGCTTAAAGAATGGCCAATAGTTTCCTCATACCAGTGCATCTTTCTTCTGAAAACAGCATTTTCACTATTTGTCCACCGCTTGTATTCTAGAAATTTTCTTTCGCGTACCTCACCTAAATTGCTGCTTTGGGTGGCTACGCTAAGCTTGCGTGTAAATGTCTCGTAAATTGAAGTTCTGAAATTATGTATGTTACGTAAATGTTTAACTTTAAATTTGTTTTACAAGTTGGTTTTTGAAATTTTTTCGTTCTTGTTCTTCATGTCGCATTTTAGTTAAATGGTTTGTATGATAAAACTTTTGTGCATTACTTAGTTTACATATATTGGAAAACGCTATGTTGTTAATGTGTTAAACATACATAAATTAATATATACATACATGTATACCTAAATAATATATAGATTTGTTTATGATTTAATGCTATTACTATTATTTATATGTATATTAAAGTCATATCATTAAAAGAAAATTTGATTAGTATTAGTGCGTTAAACGGCTGAGCAGCGATCGGGGATCGCTTTGAATGGTTGAATGGAAATGTTACAAAAAAAAAAACAAATAATGTGCAAAAGAGAGTACGAGCGGGCAAGAGCGAAAATTGTTAACGCTGTTTTATTCATGTAAATTTTTGCTTAAATGTAAGTCTATGTAAATTAAAGAGAAATTAAAAAATATTGAAATATATTGTTATGGTAACTTTAAAATGAAATTTTAAATAGCCTACATCGGCAAGGACACGGGCATACTTTAAACTTTCACAAGACATCTATTAGTAGTGAGATTCTGGAATGTGCAGACTTTGAAAGGGGTTTATAAATATATGTTGATTGCGCTGTGTTTTAACATCTTTTTTGATGGAGGTGTTCTCTTCGGAATTCCTCTAAAATTCTACGCATTTGTTTACACTTTGGTTAAAAGCTGCTGCAGCTGCGGTTTTATTTCTTTCGATTCAAACTGAGTAATCTTCCGATCAACAATACTGTTATTCAGGCCCTTCAGGACCTTGGATTAAAAACTAGGAAAGTTTTTTTTTTACATTTCAGTCGAGAATTTTTTACCTGAAAAGATGAATACCACCGATTCAACGGCTCAGAGTACCAGTTATCAGGTGTTATAGAAATCGAATATATCGTATATGCTCAACAACCTCGTAGGTTGCTACAAACGTGACTACCCGAACAGGCTTGAGGCGGAACCTTCACCTAGGCACGTCAGAAAGCGTCTTCACGAACTGAACAATTGGTGACAATAGCCAACTTCACTAACTCACGTCCTGTGAATGCCATCAGAATATAATCGCTACATATCGCAGGTTATTAGCTTCGATTGGCAACATAGAAACGCATTGGCCTGACTCAATTGCGGTTAAATTGTAGTAGGTTAAACTACTATCTGAAGAGACGGAGAAGAGAGCTTTAACTGCCAAGAGAGACCCGCGTTGCCCTGGCTCATTTACAGTCTGGATATTGTAGCCGCC